AGCCTGACTACCGGGGGTCACACAACCCTGCATTACAACGGTTCCGCTGTCTGCCAGTCTCTTTCTGAGCACAATTCAAAATGCTGGTTTTCACCTCTAAAGACCTAAAGCAGGGGTCCCTGTGACAGGACTGGACCATGGAGACAGATCACCCACCCCCCTGGAAGCACTTCCCCCACCTCACCTGCACACACAACCCACCACCTGTACACACAGGTGCCCCGCCCACCCATGAGCATGCCCATCCCCTTCATGCATGCGCGCGAGGGCACCCCTCTGCAATCACACTGCGCCTTCATGCATGCACGTGAGAGCACCCTGCCCCTTTGCACATGTGCGTGAGCACACTCCACCCACCCGTGAACATGCCCCTCCCCTTCACGCATGCACATGAGCATGCCCTTCTGTGAGTGAGGACCTCCTCTTTGCGCATGTGTGAGCATGCCCTCCCCTCCATGAGCACACTCTGCCCCTTTACACATGCGCACAGCTTTGCTCCGCCGTCCTTGGAAGCACGGAGGAGTGCCCCGCCCCCAAACCGGTCTCACAGGCAGGGCCACCCTCTCACTTCCGTAAACAATGGTTGACCCATAACAGACCCCACACAAAACAGGATGGGGAAATTGAGAGCCTGCCCCCACCCCAAATCCAGATGCCATCTCTATCCAGACATCGACTCTGGCAGGATCTAAAGGCGGCTCAGGCGTAAATCAATCCTCTAACTTCAATGCGGCCTCAGGATTAATTTTTCCCTGTTTATTATATAGAATGTTTTTCTTCAACATGTTGAGGGGGATTAAAATGGGTTCTTGTACAAACCTAGTGTGTTGCGTTAATGACACAAGTCACACCACAGTGGTTCTGCCCACCTCATTCTCCTCACTTTCTCTCCTGCTCTTTGTCTCTCTTTGTCCCCAAACAGCAAATGTCACCCTGGATCCAAAGACAGCACATCCCCTGCTCTTCTTATCTGTGGATTCCAAATGTTTCTGCCATGGATTCAGTTTTCAAGATTTGCCTGACAATCCTGAGAGATTCAATAGTCAACTTTATGTGCTGGGATGTGAGGGATTCAGAGCAGACAGACATTACTGGGAAGTCACTGTGGGAAGTGAGGGAAATTGGGCTGTGGGGGTGGCCAGGAAGTCCGTACAGAGGAAAGGCTTTGTTAAATGGAGAAGTGAAGAAGGGATCTGGGCTTTGGGGAGATGGAGAATACAGGGCCTCCGGCCTTTCTGTTGAAATTTGTCTTCCTTTGAGTGAGAAGCTGAGGAGGATCTGGGTGTCTCTTAAGTATGAAGAGGGGCAGATAGCTTTTCATGATGCCGACACAAGATCCAGTCTCTACACCTTCTCTGGAGCCTCCAGATCTTGTGAGTTTAAGAATAGTAATTCACGTAGTATTTCCATCACGACGAAATGGCATGTCACACTTGGTAGTGACCATGGAAACCCTTCTTGATACGCAGTTTCCCTTCTAGGAAGCATTGATCAGTAATAAAATGGCAATGATTGGTAGCTTCATTAATCCAGCACTATAGATAACCCAAAAAAACCCATCAAAATTGGAACATACAGTACCACATTCCCACATCTCCTTCAGGCTTGGAGGACTTCAGGGTGTTAAGGGGCTTGTGGAGGCTGGCATCTACCAATTGGAAGTCCTCAAGGCTTCTTGGAATGGAAAACCACATTAAAAGCCCCCCAAAGCTGATGGGGAATCAAATCCCAACCTCTATTTCTGCAGCCAGATATCCAAACCACTGAGCTATCCAGCCTGCCTGAGTCCCTTGAATCTTTCTTTGTGTGTCTCTCACTCTTCGGTGGGCTCCTACAGCTACCATACAGGACACTGGCCACCAGTTACAGAGGGACATCTCTGCCGTCACCAAACCCAACCAAGAAGGTACAGTTGTGTCACTTCCTCTTCCTGCCCAGAGGATGGCATCCTAAAATCTACCCGAATCACCCGTCATTGCCAGCAGGGATGGCTGAGGGGTCTGACGCCGAGAGAGGCTCGGAAGGAAAAAACTAGAAACCGGGCCTTCTCGGTAGTGGCCCCTCGGCTGTGGGATGCCCTTCCAGCAGAAATTCGGCTGGCATCCTCGCTGGCTGTTTTTAAAAAACAGTTAAAAACTTGGCTATTTAAGCAGGCCTTCCCTCCAGTCAGCTAAGTCTTTTATTTTCTTTCTCTCATCTCATTCCATTCTGCTAATTTTAATCAAATTGTATTAACTAATATATTAATTGTATTTTGTGATTACAGTATTTATATTTTATACTGTCCTATTTTATGTTGTAAGCTGCCCTGAGTAGACATGGTCTAGAGGGGCAGGGTATAAATTTTAAAAAAATACATACAAAGCTCCTGCTCACATGAGGGAAATGTTCTCTAGTTATCCCCTATTTAGATTGTTGCTTTTTCTTTCCCTGTCACATGAGACATTGTCAAGATCGAAACATTTTCCTGGCCAATGGTGTAACTGTGGTTTATTTTCTTTACCGGAAATGTCTCTACGCATGACTTGTCCCGCTTCTTTTCAGAATCAAAGCCAGGTAGGTGGCCGCCATTATTGCGGCTTATACATTTTAAAAATATTTTTGTGGCCAGTACATCAGTATGTTGGTTAAAGTATGTCACAAGCAATTGGAGCCATTGCCGCAGTACCAGCATTTTGTTATGCCACTTTTTGTCAGTCATTGTGAGGAGACAGTGATGGAGAGGGATGCAGGAAAGAAAAGGAAACGGCAGATTATGCTGGAAAACAGGGGCGATGTGGGGGAAGCTGAGCAATGGAATTCTGCAGGAGCAGCCAGCACAACAGAGGACATCTTCCCAGACAGAAATCCCTTCACAATACATCAATGTGACATGGAATATTTTGATTGCTCCTTGAAACAATACAGAAAAGAAACCAGTACCATGGTGTAGGCAACAACAATGATTCAAACAGGAGGAAAGAAATCATTGCCACGCAAAGTCCTTGGGATATTTTGTTGTTTAGTCGTTTAGTTGTGTTTGACTGTTCGTGACCCCATGGACCATAGCACGCCACGCCCTCCTGTTTTCCACTGCCTCCCGGAGTCGGGTCAAATTCATGTTGGTCGCTTCGATGACACTGTCCATCCATGTCGTCCTCTGTCGTCCCCTTCTCCTCTTGCCTTCACACTCTCCTAACATCAGGGTCTTTTCCAGGGAGTCTTCTCTTCTCATGAGATGGTCAAAGTATTGGAGCCTCAGCTTCAGGATCTCTCGTGGATATTTTGCCTGGTATATAAAGCACATGACTGAGAATGAGTACAACAGAGGTAGGGGAAAGTATCAGAAGAACTGGAGAACATGTCCCTTGTGTGACCAGGGCCAAAGAGGAAATTCACTACCAGAAGGTGGGCTGCTGGTTACCACCTCTGATGGCTCCAGAAGGAGAACTGAAGTGACTGCAACGTACGCTAAAACATCAGGAGGAGCCAGACATTTTTGGGCTCCTACATCCATCACTCCTAAGGCATAGTGAGGAATGCCAGGAGTTGCCAATCCCCTTCTCTTTCATCTCTCTCTCTCTCTTCTTGACCCCTTGTCCATCATTCCCAAACAGAACTGTCCATAAAGATGTCTATAGCTGTTGGCTTTTGTACTGAATGGCAGAAAAAGCAGAAGATTCGTATCATAAATAACTGAAAGTTTTCTCCATCACAAGGAAGGGATTTTTCTACCACTGGCTTTGTGCTTCTTCACATACGTGGATGGAGAGAATACCACCTCTCTCTACTCCTTTCCTGCACAATCCCCATAGTGTCTGGTTTGGGCATTAAGAATATCCACCCCAAAGGACCACTTCCATCTGTCTTAATGCCCCAGGTATTTTTATTTATTTATTTCAAATATGTTAACTGTACCTTTCTCCTTAAAATGGACCCAAGGTGACTTTTATCATTAAAAGACAATGATTACAGCTTTTTAAAAAAAGTAATAATACAAATACTAAAGAGGATCAAACAAAAACCATGCTATGGCTGGTAATAAAAGCAACATCAAAAACACACATTCAAAGCAGGAAGGCATAGCAATCGATTTTAAAATCTCACTCGGACAGCCAGTCACTCAGGGAAAGTTTGCCTGACTTCCTTCTTTCTGATCCATTTCAGGACTCTGAATTGCTCAGAGGATGGGCTAACATTCACCTCGTTCTTCCAGGAAGGAAATTTCAGAAAAATCCTGAGGGCTTTTCCTGCAGAGTTGGACAACCTGAGACTTCTGAGATTTAATTGGTTTTCTCGACCTTGTCATGAATCCGCTTAAAGGTACAAGAAATGCCAGGATCTTACCCTATCTATTTCATTGTTCCAGAGGTGGACATGAAAGACTGTTGGGAGATTGACTAATGTAAATTGGAGGTCTCGCTGAGGAAACAAAGGTATATTATCATAGGTGGGCTCCGGGGATAACGGATCCTGCAACACCACCTTGTTCCTCTGGAGTTTGTGGCTCCAGAGAAGAGAGAAACAAAAAGGGGCTTAAATGCCCACCAGCATCGCCCGCTGCAGCGAATTGACTCAGGTCAAGGAAAGGGATCCCCTAACAGGGCTCCCCCACAAGCAGGGAAAATCCAAATAACTAATCCACAGGGTGGCCATAAATCAACATGATGGCACATAAGAACAAAAGTCATGCACTGCATGGAGTATGAAGTTGTGTATTCAGCAGAAGCACACAAACAACCTGCATCTTTTTGTCTAGAGAAGGGGAAGAGATGTTCGGAGTCCTGAAATGGATCTTAAACGACCCTGAAGCCAGACCGCTTTGTCACTAGCATATATTTGTCTTTCTCTTAATTCATCCCCTTCCTTTCCTTATCTATCAGTTTATGAAAGTCCTCTTTTTGGAGCCCGTTCCTTCCCCTCCTTGCCTCTTTTTCACCCGTGGATGATTTCAAGCTGACAGGAAGGGAAACGCCCTCCCTCTCTGCAAGCAGAGAAAGCGAAACTAACCAGTTCGCTGCCTCGAGGGACGAGAGATGGCGGCTGCTCCCCTTCAGGGTCTCTGCGAGGACGTCACTTGCTCCATCTGCCTGGAATATTTCAAGGATCCCGTGATCACAGAATGTGGGCACAACTTCTGCCGAGCCTGCCTGACCCAGAGCTGGGAGGGGTCGGAGGGCGAAGAGATTTCCTGCCCTCAATGCAGATCAAACGTGCGGAGGAGCCTCGTCTCCAACCGGCAGCTGGCCCTCCGTCTCCAAGAGGAAACGATCACTGAGAGAAAGGGGGGAGCCTGTGGGAAGCACCGGGAGCCCCTGAAGCTCTTCTGCAAGGATGATGAAGCCCCCATCTGTATGGTGTGTAAATGGTCGAAGGAGCACCGAGAGCACCTGGTGGTTCCTCTGGAGGAAGTTGTCCAGGAGTACAAGGTAGAAAGTAGTGATGGCAGAAATCATTGGGGGGGGGCAAGGGATGGGGAGCCTGTTCGTGAGGCCTCTGGATTGTTGACAGTGGTTTTTATGTGGATGCATTTAAAGAAATGCCAGCATTTGGGGAGGGTGACATGTGCCCTTCTTGTCCCCCCCCCCCATGGCCATCCCTGGTAAGGAGGAGGAAATTTGGACCAGGGAATGAAATAGTTGTGTATCTTGCCTGAAATGTTGTCTGCAATCATCTGTAAAAGGGCCTGAATTAACCATTAAGTAAAATAGGCAAGAGGGAAGTGAAACCGAAGTGGAGTCTCTATCAGGGATCTTCTACCAACTCCCCTCAAGACTGAAGAAGCTGCTTGGATGAGTAGCGAAAGGTTTCAACCTAACAAGAAAGACGTCCAGTTGTGATGGTTCATCTTCTAGAAATATAACCACCTGGGGAGGACTGAGAATCTTGACATAAAATCAGGATGTGTTTAGGGCCTGAAGGGAAGGGGAGGCCCTTACAGAGTTTGCCAAAGGAAGGAGATTAGATCTTTGCTCTCCACTGCAAAAGCAAAGATCTTCAGCTGGACATGGACTTCCTTCCTCTTAGCTGGAAGGAACTGGAGATCCACTCCAGTCCTTTGCTTCAGCCGAGGAGACAAATATCTGCTCTTTTGCAACCTGGGAGCCTCTTTCCTTAGTGATCAAGTCCTGAGTCCCAATCCTTGCCTAGTGAGAAAACTCATGTCCTGATTAAAAGGATCAATCATCATCACGATTGCCTAGTGTTGGCTTTAATTTTGGAGGTTGGGTGGAGACAGGGATAAAAAGAGCTGCTGGTCTTTTAGACCTATGGCCACTGCACCATACAAGCAAGTGGAAGAAATAACAGCCACTGTTAAAACACCCCAAGATTGGGTTTTACAATCTAGTTTGAACTTTTCAGTTTACAGGTTCTGACAAAATCTGTCTATTGGTTGTTGTGGGTTTTTGGCCGTGTTCTGAAGGTTGTTCTTCCTAATGTTTCGCCAGTCTCTGTGGCCGGCATCCTCAGAGGACAGGAGAGGACTCTGCTCACCAGAGCACAGAGTTCCTACTCCTGTCCTCTAAAGATGCCAGCCACAGAGACTGGCGGAAGGTTAGGAAGAACAACCTTCAGAACA